TCTTTGTACACCCCTAGATAACACCTTGTTTTAATTTAATCTTGTCATTGCTTGTATAATAGTAGTCTTGGGGGCACCTTTTTTTTTCCTGTCATTATATCTAGTAAAAGGGCAGCCAAGTGCGCCGTGACTCTTTAGATGATATCGAAGCGGAGTCCTCGGGGCGACTTTCTTGATCGCCTCATTCTTCAACCATGGGTTAAGATGTGGCTAAAGTCTCTCCGATGGTAGCTCTGTCGGGTCATTTGATCTTCTCAGTTCCACTCGGGCATACTCTTTCATAGGCTCGATTAGAAAAAAGGACCTTATATGTATCTGTCTCACTTACTCGAACTAGCCACCCCTTGGGAACCGTCTCCCCTTTTACCCTGCAATGAAGGGCCGATGGCTTAGCCTTGCCTTTAGAAAGAAGAAATAGAAAAAAATTACCCCCGACAGTGATGGATATGGATGACGAAAGCCTCCCAGCGAAAGCCGAAGCACAGGTTTGCAGACCTCTTTGAATCCCAAGAAGGGGATTTACGGTCAACGCTATCTCACTCAAAGTGCATTCAGCTCGGCTAGTGGACTTTTGTGTTCGAACCTCGAATCTGGACCTGTTCGACAAGACCAGATCCATCAACTGTGCTCGTAGGTTGACTCACATATGCATCCCGACTAAGGTCTCACAAACTTCCACTTTCTTTATGCATCTAACCGCTTTACTAATGTGAATAGGTTATACAGAATGGTAGGTTTGCATATCTTAAATTATGCTTTTCACAAGTTTGGTACGCTAGAGGGTGACGAAGGAACACGAGTTTTATTGGATCTAAGCCCGCATTCTTCCTAGCAACCGAGTCTCAGCCCGAAGAGCACTTCCCTGGCGGAGAGTTTGAACGAACGGAACTCCAGCGCACTGATTGAGCTAGCTACAGATCATGAACTCTTTCAGACCCTTAGTTTCACTTGGTTGGGGTGGAGTTTCAGCCTTCCTTCCACCGAATATAAAACATCTTAGAGTTTCCTAACCTGTTGACATCGCTTTCTCTCAGCCACTAGTGGCTTATATAGTGGTCAGCATTCCTACGTGCTCCTCCTTGCCCCCCTACTTAAGAATCTAAAGGTCACCTTTGGATGTTGTCGTGACGCTTATTTTCGAATAGCGAGAAAGTGAAATAATGGGGAATATAATGGAGCGGACCCTCATAGAAAATTGCCTATGAGATCGCATTTCATCGGTTTTTTAAGATTGGATAGTATTCCGTATCCATATAGGGTCCGGAGAAAGACGTACTCCAAGGATTGCGTTCACAGCTTGAACCTGTGACCTATCGGTCACACGGAAATAATTTTATCATTTTAAACTTGTACACTACACTATGTTGTGTTTGTATTACCCCTATTATATTGGGAAAATAACACTGTATAACTGCTCTCAAAATAATAGTCAAAAAAATGTATATATTTTTTTGTATATATATACATTATGTATGTTATATATAAATTTTATACACTTTTTCGGCTACGAAATGTAAATAATACTTCGGAACACTAAAGAAAAAAAAATGTTCGAGTCAGTGTCCTAGTCCTATAAACATACAAAGGCTGCACTTCTACAATATATCTTGTACACTATATATGCTGAAAGGAAGTGTGGTTGGAAACAGCCTTGGTCCAAACTAAGCCCCACAACTTTATGACATGGAGATTGCAGTGGAAACTAGAACAAACAATAATATTTTGAAAGTCCATTTGGCACCAATCAAAGACTCAAGAACCTTATCCCACATCATAAATCTAATCTTCCCAATATCCATTTCCCACACATTCATAAACTAAAGCCAATTTCCCTTCACACATAGATCACAAACATTAAGAGGAAACCAAGCCAAAAAACAAAGAAAAGAAAGGATAATTGTAAGCAATGGCTTCAACACAATGTTTCTTGCACCAGCATGCACTCTCTAGCTCAGCAGCTAGAACAACATCCTCAGTGTCATCACAGAGGTACGTTTCATCCCTTAAGCCTAACCAATTGGTTTGCCGTGCCCAAAAACAGTCCTCACCTCAAGAAGATGATGGCAACAGCGTCGTCGTCTCTCGACGATTGGCTCTCACTGTCCTTATTGGTGCTGCGGCCATTGGTTCCAAGGTTTCCCCTGCAGATGCTGCTTATGGAGAAGCTGGTATGTCAAGTTCAATTTTGACATACTGTCTCAAATAATTTTTATACTATCAGATCATTTAAAAGATAATTACAGGTAACTGTTAATAATACGGCGAATGAGTCACTAGGAAAGTAGAGCATATGTACAACACGTTATAACAAGTTAAATCAGTGATAGTGTAAAAATTCATTCTTTATAGTGTTAGTTATATAAACTAAATCCTTTTGAACACATTTATTGATCAGACGCACCTATATAAAACTTCCACGGAATAACATAAAGGGCAGCCCGATGCACTAAACTCCCGCTATGCATGGGGTCCGGTGAAGGGTCGGACAACAAAGGTCTAGTATATGCAGCCTTACCCTGCGTTACTGCAAGAGGCTTTTTCCAGGACTCAAACCCGTGACCTCCTGATCACATGGCAGCAACTTTACCAGTTATACCAAGGCTCCCCTTCTTCCATGGAATAACATGATGATGCTTAAAACGATTATTGAATGGAATTTAATGATGGTTTTTGTGATACATATATATACAGCAAATGTTTTTGGTAAGCCAAAGGAAAACACTGATTTCTTGGCATACAACGGAGATGGATTCAAGTTGCAAGTCCCAGCTAAATGGAACCCCAGCAAAGAAGTTGAGTTCCCTGGTCAAGTTCTCAGATATGAAGACAACTTTGATTCCACCAGCAATCTCATTGTCACTGTCACTCCAACTGATAAGAAATCCATCACTGACTACGGCTCCCCCGAAGAGTTCCTCACTCAAGTAATTACATCTCTCTCTCTCTCTCTCTCTAAAAGCATGCATTTTATAGACTGAAAATTGCACAAAGTGATGAGTTTTGACCTTGTTCTTTTTTTGTCTGAGCAGGTGGACTTTTTGCTAGGAAAGCAAGCTTACTTTGGTAAAACTGATTCAGAGGTAAGTAGTCATAACTACAATAAATGATTGTGAAAAGGATTTGTTGTTCTGGTTATTTGTAGAGTGGGAGTATTTACACATGGAACAAATGAAGTAAGTCCTAGAAATAAATGCCCTACAATTTCTTTCGTACCGGTGGTGTCAAGTCTAACTTGCGCGCACATGCACCTAGACTATTCCACTTAGAGGCGGAGCTAGGATTTGAAGTTATTACGTTGGGGATTTTAGCTAATTTAATAATTTGTATATATTCAACGGATTTCTCATAAACAAATATAGGGTTCGGACCAAAGCTACTAGGTTCGGTCAAACCCATAGCCAAAAGGCTCACTTCGCCCCTGATTCCCCTAGTGTATCAACTATTTTCCACCAGCAGAAATACCGGATAACTATGCCCATCTAGATGGTGTTTGCAAAAGCACCATCTAGACTATTGTATGCAAGAATTATGATAGAAAAATGAAGAGTGGGAATTTGTTGCTGCAGGGTGGATTTGAATCTGGTGCAGTGGCAACTGCAAACCTATTGGAGACATCAAGCTCAACTGTAGGAGGAAAAGAGTACTACATCTTGTCAGTATTAACAAGAACTGCAGATGGAGATGAAGGTGGTAAGCACCAATTGATCTCAGCTACAGTAAATGGTGGCAAACTTTACATTTGCAAAGCACAAGCTGGTGACAAGAGATGGTTTAAGGGTGCTAGGAAGTTTGTGGAGAATGCTGCCACTTCTTTCAGTGTTGCTTAATTAAGAATGAAAAAAAAGTAAAACCATTAGTATTAAGTTTGTATGTACTTAGTTCTCCCCCCTCTTAAAAAGAAATATGGTGCTGAGATGAGTTGCTTAATTGGACTTCCTTTTTTCTCTTTTCAAGCCACCCTAAAATAGTTTGTAGAGATGTTTGAAGTATTGTTGGAGAAAGCTAATGTTAATAATTTTAATATTTTCTTTGCATATATTAGACACCCTTTTAGACATGTTTAAAGCACTGTTTTATTTCCTTTTCTCTTCTTTTTGTGTCATTCTGAGGACCTAAACTCACTTCTCATATGCAAATTTTGAGTTACTAAACCATAGGCAAGTTTTATAACTATGTATCGATAACATTGCCCGTGAATAACAGTTAAACCCCCTCTTAAATTCCCCTTCTTTTCACTATTTTTTTGGAGATAAAAGCAAATGACAATGCATCCAATCTATTCAAACCATTGACTACTTCCCCAGCTTAAATTCAGTAAGAGACACAAAGCAATCACTGAGAACTGAGATATGGAGTAAGTACATGAATTATTGATGGACTGAATGCAAATTTCACATTCTTGTTTGTCATAAATGTTTGCTTTGACATGAACGTAAAGAATATACAGAGAAAGCAGTGAATAGGGATAAGAGATCAATCTTGTAAACATTATACACTGCCCTTTTGCATCTCAGACTTCAACTTCGCCCATTGCAGCAGTTCACACCATTAGTAACAGTGCCATGTTGCTTCATGTTTACTCGATTCAAGCCCCATATACGGATACTACGATCATCACTTGCTGATGCCAGCATATGAGGATTTGCTGGGTTCCAGCTAACACAATTCACCGTCCCAGAATGTCCCGCCAATGTCCCAACAAGTTCACCTGAGCCTCTATGCCATATATAAACCTGAAAGTATTGTATAGACCAAGATCAAAATCTCTCTCAAGGATACCAAGACTAAGTTTATGGTATAGACTAAGATCAAAGTCTCTCTAGAGAATACAAGGTCAGAATCCAACTCTCTACAGATAATAAAGATAACGTGTGCAAGGATATATAAATGGTCTGAAAATCTCTGAAAGACTGGAGAATTTTGCAATAACAAGACACTCAATGACATGGAAATAACTCAAATAAGAGAGCATTGGAAATCCATGATTATTGAGAGCAGTGGTTATTACAAAGGCAGGATGATATGTGTCCAAATAGTAAAATACGCTTTATTCATGGTAGAAGAAACTCAAAAAGAAAATTAAGCAGATTGCCAGAGGCAATTTTGAAATACTCAAACAACAGAAACAGAATTAACTCTTTAGGGCATCATTTACAAGAATCCTAGAAAATGCAAAAGAAATAATGATGTTGCTTGCATATATGAAGCATAAACATGAAATGATTATTTCTAAAAAAACATAACTTGTTCACAGGACTTCTTTATGCAGGAAAACAGTGTATTTAATGAGTAAATGAAAGATGATTTTATGGTCAAAAGACAGACCGTCTGCAATATGCAAACCTGATTTGAGGAATAGAATTCTCAATTTAATCATGTGCTAAACTGCTAATATGCATACTTTAAAAAAAAAAAAGTTCTGCAACATAAAAATGCATTGTGCTTCTCGATCAATAAGAGAAGAAGTACCTGTGAATCTTCGCTTCCACTGGCAACGAAAGCTTGATCTAGTCCTCCAAAGCAAGACCTCACAACGAAACGAGAACGTTTATGGCCCTTATATTTGGCTATGAGTTTTACAGTTCCCTGTATATCCCAAAGATGAATTTCTTGGTTCCAAAGACTAACCAATACATACTTATTGTCCATGGACAATACAAACGAGGTTATTGCTTGATCCTCTTGAATTACTTTCTCTGTTCTTGATTCCCATTCAAATAATACTATCGTATTTTCTTTACAAACAGAGACAACATGCTTCCCATCACTTGTTATTCCCAAGTCCGATATTCTTATAGTCCTGTTGCCTTTCCAACATTCCAGCTCTTTCCCTTCCAAATCCCACATGCTAATGCTTTTGTCAGTTACACCACAGAATATCCTCTTGCCATCAGGAGCCCATCCGCATGAGATCAAACCAAGTCCATTTTTCTCATAAATGCGTATACATTCACCGGACTCGACATCCCACTGTCTGACAACTTCTTCTACACCACAAGTGAGAAGCTGATGGTCGTCAGGACTCCATGATATATAGGAGACAGGTTTTTGATGACCAGAAAATAGGTGCTTTAAGAAGACACATCCATCCAATTTGACCTATAAAGAGCAGAAAATTAAGGCATGAAGTTAAATGCTATCAACTGTCTGATTAGTTCAAATCTTCATGATCAACAGCACTCTTTTCTTTCATACCCAGCACTCCCTCCCACATAAAGACCATTTTTTTTCTATTTAACCTTTAAACACCAACTTTTTCTATTTAACTTTTACCAAAATGAAATGCACCTGATAATAGCATCTTAAAGTTTGGAGGAGAAAGAACCTTGCATATCACAGCTCTCAAAAATATAATCAAGCATCAAAAAGAAGAGGACATGAACCCAATATGTTCAATATTAATCCTGTTGATAAGCAAACAGAAGCGGTACAAGTACCACCTATTATTTCAGGAATAAATACAACATAAAACTCTGATTTCCAACTTACAAAGCTAGCTGAATAAAGCACATCATCACCTCTAGGACACTCTTAACATTTCTTTTCTAGACAGTTTGTTCAAAATCCCTTCTTATAGTAAAGTAATATTGACCTTCAACTTTCATTTTTTCTATAGTACATGGAACTCTTACATGTGTTTATTTCTCTTGAAACCTAAAAAGGAAGGTTATCATGATATGAAACAACTATTCCCTCCGGTCTCATTTTATATCAGGGTATTTGATTGGGCACAGGGTTTAAAGATGTTATTTTGACTTGTATAATACATTAGTGACTTTGGAAGAGTATTAAAGTAGTATCAAAAAGACAACAAACAGCACATCAAAGTTAAAGTGTGAATACTTTAATGAATTTAAATTTTTAAAAGTTGTTTAAAATAGAATGATGGAACGTGTAAATGGGAAGAGTGTCATGTAATTTGGAACAGAAGGAGTACTTATAATGGAACTAAAGCCAAATTATATCTTAAGGTTGATGTTGTATTCAACTGATATTCATAGACATGCACATCAACATTTGACATAGACATGCACATCAACGTTTAGCATGCCATTCATAACTATTTGGCAACATCACCTTTATAATAACTTTGTTCTTAACAATGGAATAATAATGAATAACTAATTATTGCAGGCAGAAAAATCTATTTAGCTTCCTTGCTAAATTTTGGACTGAAATATCTGATACAATAATTTTCTAACGTGAACCATGAAACGGTTAACGGACAATCTAATAGGCTAAAAATTTAATTAGATTACATAGAGCCCAAGCTCCATGAAACTAACACCTCAGACTATATACAAAATCAGCTTGCAACTGATTTTTGTATTTTTTAAAAAAAAAATATTTTGGACAAGTAAAAGAGATATTAAGAAAATAAATTTCGGACAACTAACACCTCAACCTGTATAGGCTTCACCGTTAGTTGCAGACTTTTGGTCTTAAACAAGCCATGACATTCTTCTTTTTACAGACTAAAAAGAGAGAGAGTGTCACATAAAATGGAACACGGGGAGTAATACATTAATTCACAACCTTTTACTTTATAAAAAACCCCAAGGGCCAAGATAGGTCACCATTTTAATCAAAATGAATTGACTTTTGGTTGTATTACATTATGTTTGTTTGAGGACCCATATGTGGCACACCATGAAACTCTGAAGCAGTGGCGGACCCAGAATTTTATACAAGCGGGTTCGGTCAAAGAGCATAGTAGCCACTTGTATAAGCGGCACCGGTAAATAGAATTTGCTCACTACTTAGTTTTATTCATCATGTGACCTCGAAATAAAGTCATTGACGCTATTTTATAATCAAAGGTGGGAATTTAAAAAACAAAATTGACATTTTATCCATATATATATATAAACAAATTTTACTTCAACAAATTTGTAAATTTATTAATTTTAACAAAAAAAATTTAACCAACTTAAAAATCTTATAACTCTAAGAAATTTAACATAATAAGTATTTACAAACAAAAAAAAAGTAAAAAGGGGAGTTATGAACTAAACTAATTGATATAAACTTTTAAAGTAAAAGAGTAAACACCAAACTAAAATTTTCAGTATAACACAAATTAACAATTCCAACATATATAAACCAAAAAAAAGGGCAGCCCGGTGCACTAAGCTCCCGCTATGCGCGGGGTCCGAGGAAGGGCCGGACCACAAGAGTCTATTGTACGCAGCCTTACCCTGCATTTCTGCAAGAGGCTGTTTCCACGGCTCGAACATAAACCAAACTACATAAAATTAAAAAATTACAAATAATCTCAACAAGGCACTCTCATTAATTTTAGCAGAAACTATGTAAGAGAGAACCAAAATTCACTTAATGGAAAGGTTTATTTATTTTTTTTGAAGTAAAATAGAGTTTAATAAGAATAGCTAAAATAATTACGTATATAACTGGAACATAAAATGCAATGTGGAAAAAATATAAGTTCGACACTTCAGCAGAGGTTCGAAATTCTGACCTCTGCCCAGTGGCGGAGCCACATTCAACCGAGGGGTGTCAATCGACACTCCTTCGCCGGAAAATTAAACTGTATTGCTAGATAAATTTTTTACTTTATGTATATTTACTATACATTGACTCCCCTTAATTTTACGGTGTATTTAAATTCTTATATTTTGATACCACTTAGTGAAAATCATGGCTCCGCCACTGCCTCTGCCCACATTATGAACCCTCTTTGCCACTGCTCTGCAACTTCCATTTGTGTCAAGTGGGTTCATGTCTTATAATATTGGAGTATCTTCTTTCATGATTTTCTGATGAAGTTCGCAAGTGAAAATAATAAATTTTTCGACGAAGCGGGTTCAACTAAACCCCCTTGCTATAAGGTGGGTCCGCCCCTGCTCTGAAGCATACAAGAATGGCATCTTTTTCCTGATATTAATTCTTTAAAGCAGAAGTAAAGGACAATACGAAAGAAACTGCGACATAAGATGCAAAAAATGGAGGAAAAAATAAATTTTCAACAAAAAGCAAAGTGACAATTGATCTAAGTTGAAAAAACAACAATTGTTACGACAATTCAAGAGGATTTAA